AGGATATGATGTCATCAGTGCTCAACACATTGGCTGTTTCTCAATATGCGTTCTTCAGCGGTCTTGCATTCTCGTGCAACGTCATCATCAGCTGCCTAAGTTCAGTTTCAATACTAAAGACCGCAAATACAGAGAACGCGTGAAACTTCCCGGATGTGTTCTTGATATCGAGGACGCACTGATGCAGACTTGAGCACCGAACTCGCTCTGGAAGTCTTCTAAACTGTATAACTTTGGTCAGATGTTTTGGGTCTCCTTCCACAAGCTTCTCACAATAGTTTGCAGGAATTTCGGCCCATTCCTCCTGACAGAATTGCTGTAACTGAGGCAGATTTGTAGGCTGTCTTGCTCGCACAAGCTTTTTTAACTCTGCATACACATTTTCTATAGGATTGAGATCAGGGCTTTGTGATGGCCACTCCAAAACATTCACTCTGTTGTTCTTAAAGCACATTTGAACTCATTTGGCAGTGTGCTTAGGGTCATGGTCTGTCTGGAAGACCCATTTGTGGCCAAGTTTTAATTTCCTGGCTGATGTCTTGAGATGTTGCTTCAGTATTTCTCCATAATGTTCTTTCTTCATGATGCCATCTATGCTGTGAAGGGGTCCCTCCTGCAGCAAAACAGCCCCACAACATGATGCTGCTGCCTCCATACTTCACAGTTGGGATGGTGTTCCTAGGCTTGTGCGCTTTCCCCTTTGTCCTCCAAATGTAAGGCCGTACTCACACTAGGTACAGTTGCCTCGAACCGGGCCAAAGCACGCTTGTCCCCCCTCCCGTCTCCCCCGACGGCCCGCGCTCACACCATATCGGGCCTCGGCACGCTTACGTCATCGCTGCTGCGCTGTTCAGAAGCGCTCTCTATGGCAAGCCTTTTTAGCATTTAAATCTTTGTTCTGACTCCATAAATATATTTAGAGATATCTCTAATTATATTTTGACTAGTCATAATTATAATTCGACTAGTCAGAATAACAATTAGAGATATCTGCAATTACAATTGTATTAGTACGAAATCAGATTGGAGATATCTGCAAATATATTATGACTAGTCATATTCCTCCATTGACTTCCATTGAAAAATATTTGCAGATATCTCTAACTGAGTTTTTACTAGTCATACATTTGGAGATGTCTTTAATTCGTAATATTTAGAGATATTTACAAATATATTTGAAGATATCTCTAATTAATTTACTAATAGTCGAATTACAGTTGTAGATATCTTGAATTGGATTTTTGACGAGTCAAAACTCAGAGATATCTGCAAATATTTTTCAATGGAAGTCAATGGAGGAATAAGACTAGTCATAATATATTTGCAGATATCTCCAATCTGATTTCGTACTAATACAATTGTAATTGCAGATATCTATAATTGTCATTCTGACAAGTCGAATTATAATAATGACTTGTCAAAATATATAATTATATCTCTAAATATATTTATGGATAGTCAGAACAAGGTTTAAATGTTAAAACGGCTTGCCATACGCTCTCACTCAGCAGCACAGTGGAGATTTCTCTAGTTATATCGTTTCAGTCGTTTGTTATGCAGTGACATGCAGTCAAATATTTCGCCAAACAGTCCTTAGGGATGCGGGGACACGCAGTCAGATAAGCAGTGTGTTTGAGCTTTTCCTTCAATACTATTCTACAGTTGTGCCTCACATTCACTCAAATGTAGCCAATCAGAAACTTCCAAAACCCTGACATCATCATCTGAGCTTTTTCCAGAGGCAGATTAATCTGATTGTGTGTAAACTTGACTTTCAAGACAAGTTATAACGATTTCTCAAATAATCTCTCTCATTATTCTGCTATTAAGCAGAACAGAAACACATGTGATCATCCTGACTTACCTAAAAGAGAAAAAGTTTAGTCACATTAACATCTTTTACATAATAGGAGCCCTTTAACAGGACATTTAAAATGACAATAACCCAGGATTTAGAGTAGTGGGAAACATATAATGAGCTGCTTTGGCGATTCAGCTTGTGTGTGTTGTGCTTACTAATATATACTCATGTCCATCCACCTGTAGTCAAGCCGTGTAGTTAGTAGGATGTTTTTCAGCAGCCCTGATGAATGAATGAGCGAGTGTTAGTCAGGAGAGAGTTAATCTGCTTTCTGTGCACAGATGGTACACGCAGATTAAACTCCCTCCTGTTTATCCAAGAGAAAGCCTCGCGCTGGATACATGTGACTCAGTCAGATTCGTCTCTGAAGCCCTTTCTGGATGAGCTCAAACACTACAGGACATGAAACAAACATTAAAGGGCGCCTATTATGCCTCCTTTTACAAGTTTCTGCTGAAAATAGCACACAGATCATGTTCTCCAGCTCTCTGAAACAGACTCTTTCAGGCTTTGATCTTAATTGGGGTGTTTTGGTGACTGTCGCTTTAAATGCAAATGAGTTTGTGCTCTTGTTCTGAAGAGGGCGGAGCTACTGATGCCTGTGGGTCAGCATAGTGGCAGATTCAAAAACAAGACTAGCATCCTATGCTAATGAGGGAGAGATGGTCTCTAGTGGGCGGGGCTTTCCCCCTCTGATGACATCATACAAAGGGAGAATGTCAATCAAAGTGTTTCTGCAGACTGATTCCATCAAGTCTGATTATAAACAATACAGTTAATACATGATGACCATTAGAGGCTGGAGATATTCACACACTGCTGACACACAACTGTGTTTAAACCCCTTTTAGAAGTGATTAGCATAAAAGGTCCCCTTTAACTTATACGGGTATATTGTTGTGTGGAGTTTGCATGTTCTCCCCGTGTTGGCGTGGGTTTCCTCCGGGTGCTCTTTTTCCCAGGCCAAACACATGCAGTATAGGAATAATCTAAAATGGCCGTAGTGTATGTGTATGAAAGAGTGTGTATGGGTGTTTCCCAGTGTTGACTTGCAGCTGGACGGACATCAGCTGCGTAAAACATATGCTGGATAACCCCTTATTAATAAAGGGACTAAGCCGAAAAGGAAATGAATGATTGAAATTGGCTAGAGTGTATGTGAACGTGAGTGTGTATGGGTGTTTCCCAGTACTGGGTTGGTTGTACTGAATTGATACTTTAAAGGGCCATGAAACCCGCTCGTTTCAGCAGGGTGTTTTCACACCTCTACTTTGGAAAAAGTCAGAAGAGTGGGCGTGTCCAGCTCTGTTTAGGGGGGAGTGTCGGAGGAAGAAAAGTGGGATGGTGTGGGAGTGTCTATTTGGGCGCGCTGAGTTTCAGAGTCAAAACACACACACACACACACACACACACACACACACACACACAGGGGAGAAAGTGACTGTGTTTACATGGACATCTGTAGTCGAATTATTTGCCAAATTATTAAATGTTGGACTTTAACTGCAGTTTGGCTCTTTCATTCAGGGAATTCATTCATGCCCCTCGCGACAAACAAGATATTTGATTCGAGGAACTGCTGTAAGCGTGTATTTTTCATGCAATGTTTGATACCGCACGGCGAATGAGAGAAAAAAACCCTCAGCATTTCCCGGAAACTTAGATGCACACGGCAGGTAGCGTCAGAAAGCCGCGTGTGTTATTCCGGTCACAAAATGCGGTGAAAATCCTCCACGATGGTAATAGTTTGGTTGTGGTGCTAACATGTTTACACTCGGTGCAATAGTTAGTTCGATACGAACAAACTGAATAAACAAAGAGCACTGGTCGCTCACTTACCAAATCTGTAGAGACAGGACAATCACCAGCAACTAGAGCCGCGTCTTTATTAAGAGGAGACTACAAGCAAATCCGGATCTCAGCGTTTGCAGATGAGAACAGCTCTCAGGTAAACAATAATCCTCCTTAGACACGTAAGTTATTGTTGTGGAGCGTCGCGTACACTGTTAATCCACACGTGACTCCAGCTGAGCTCTCACAGAGAGAAAATGAAAACAAAACTTCACTGCAGCAAACTATAAAAGCAACACTTCACGCTTGTTTTGCCAACACAACGTGGCGTCTCTGTCGTCTAAACACTGTGACAGTAATGAATATTAATGAAGTTGCACAATAGAGCGCGCTGATTGGTTTGAACCAAGCTTTACTCATGCATTAATGCAGCACACTGTAAGACGTAATAAGACACACTCTGGCACAGACGTCCAGTCTGCACGCTGGAATACACGCTATTATCTCATGACCGTGACGCAGCTTCAAAAATTAGTTTCAAACCGGAAGTACGAATTTGCTTGAAATAACGCAAAAACAACCAATTTACACTTTTTAGTGAGATATAGGTGTCCTAATAGTGTTTTTAGCAGTGTGGGACACATATACCACTGTCAACAGCTCAACACATGTGTTTTGGTGTTTCGTGACCCTTTAAGTTTTGCCTAGTTCATTAACAGATAAGCTGAAGTCTCTGAATGTGTGTTTGTTGTGTGTAGAGGAGTGTCTGAATTGAAAGAGATCAGTTGTCTTCAGCTGCTCAAGTTAAAGTTATTTATTTACCCTTATGCAAATGAGGGACCCAAACAGCACCTGTTCTGAAACGGTGTTAAACGTCGAGGGCATCTGCTAACACACACACACTATAGAAGTGCCTCAAGAGTGTGTGTTTGTCCACTTGTTGTTTGCCTTGAGCCTTCAGGAATGTGCGAGGATCCGACAGAAACACCGGAGCATTTGCATTCCTCCGCGCTGCAGGAATGTGCACAGAAAGACCCTTTATTTGCTGCGCTCCTCCTCCTCCCACGGCTTTTCTTCCTTTTATCCCTCTTTCTCTCTCGCTTTTTCAGTCCGTGGGATGTTTCCTCCCCCGCTCCGCTCCCATAAAGGTCACTCCGCCCGCTCTCTTATCTCTGGCCCCGCCTCCACAGCTTACGACGCGCTCTGATTGGGCTGCAGCGAGTAGCTCCGCCCACTGCTCCTCAAGCAATCCAGTGTCTCCAGAACCCCACCCTCTGTTCCTGTCTGTGCGATCACCGTACGCAAACACACACACACACACAGACTTGAAGGAGACTGAATCACACACACACACACGCCCGCACGGTTTGTTCTGTCGGCTGGGTGTGTTTCGCGTGTTTGCTGTGGATCTAGAGATGCAGTGAGAGATGGTGCATCAGGACAGCTGCTCCTATCAGGTAGACCAGAGCTGTTATTACTGTTATATTATTTAACCATAAGATCAAATGGAGAGTTTGAATCAGGGAAATCTCGTGTGTGTGTGTGTGTGTGTGTGTGTGTGTGTGTGTGTGTGTGTGTGTGTGTGTGTGTCCTCCATAATGTCTGTAATCAAAGTCAGTTCTCTCTTTTTGAGATGTATTTTGAAAAAGGGGACTCATGTTAGTCTGGTTTGATCTCTGTTTACTCATATGGCCAAAATGCATATGTATGTGTGCGCGTATATGTGTGTGTGTATTTAAATATGGATGTTTTTGTATATTTTGATATATATAATACACAAAAAAAATGGCCAGATATAGACTGAAAAAGGTCTTGCATGCAGAACTGTTGCAAACAATTTATTTGTGTTGAATTTAAACAAACAAATTTAATTTAATAATGTTCAACTTAATTTGTTTGTTTAAATTCGGCCCAAATAAGTTGTTTACAACAGTTAACATAAAAAAAAAAATTTGAGTAAATCCAAGACATCATCTTTGAATAATTTTTTTCCGTGTAGTCTATTTGCTTTAATATTTTTAGCAATAAATTTACATAAATGTGTTTTCTACAAACACATTTTTTTATATATTTTTATATATAAATTATATATATTTATTATATAAATTATATATAAAATATATATTTTAATATATAAATATATATTATTTTAATATAAGTTATATATATATATATATATATATATATATATATATATATATATATATATATATATTTATTTATATATATAATCTGTGTTTCAATATATATATTGCCATATATTCTGCATATATTTCAATCCAAGAATATATATTCATGTGTATAACATTAAGAAAATATAATTGAGTTCACCCCATTTTGAAAATGAATATTTTCCTCCATTTCTCAGTGAATATAGGCAATGTATTTTGGTGCATTTAAACAAAACAGATTTATTAAACAGATACATTTATTAAAATTATATTTTAATCAGAAACATATTTAGAAACTGAAAGAAAATACAATTAAATTCAAGCAAAATATTGCAAAAATAAAATTACAACCCACAAAATGTCAACCGAATTAAAATAAAATGTTTTGCTTTCCTTGATTTTTTCCTCTTTTTACAATTTGTCAAAATTTTAATACAAAAATTTGTGTTTAATTTTTTTCTGTAACATATAAATGTGGCTGCACTAGTTTTTGAACTCTTATCGTAAGTTATTTTGTTAGATAAGCTCCAGATTTGGCTTCAGTACTGATTAATCTAATGTAGATTTAAATTCAGAATTATTCGCCCCCCTGTTTATTTTTTTTTCCTTGTTTTCTGTTTAGCTGAGAGCAGATTTTCTTCAACATATTTCTAATCATAATAGTTTTAATAACTCATCTCTAATAAATGATTTATCTTTGCCATGATGACAGCACATAATATTAGACTAGATATTCTTCAAGACACTAGTGTTCAGCTTAAAGTGACATTTAAAGGCTTCACTAGGGTAATTAGGGTAACTAGGCAGGTTATACTATAATGATGGTTTGTTCTGTAGACTATCGAAAACAAATATATAGTCTAAATGGGCTAATATTTTTGTCTTTAAAATGGTGTTTAAAAAATTAAAAACTGCTTTTATTCTAGCCGAAATTCAACAAATAAGACTTTCTCCAGAAGAAAAAATATTATCAGACACACTGTGAACATTTCCTGAATCTGCTCAACATCATTTGGGAAATATTTTAAAAAGAGAAAAAAATTAAAGGGGGGCGAATAATTCTGTATATCTATGTACATTAAGGTTGTTTTAGTAAACAAAAACTATTCGTCAAAAAACATTTTCGTTAACTAAAAAAAACATAATAAACAAAAGTAAAAACCTAAACCTAACAGCTGTTAATGACAACAGTAAAATGAGCCTATTTCCCCTCCAAAAGTGGGCTGTTCCTTAAAAAAAACTCAATTTCAGTCTGAAAACAGTGGCTCAGTGGTTAGCACTGTGGCCTCACAGCAAGAAGGTCACTGGTTTGAGTCCCGGCTGGGTCAGTTGGTGTTTCTGTGTGGAGTTTGCATGTTCTCCCCGTGTTGGTGTGGGTTTCCTCCGGGTGCTCTGGTTTCCCCCACAGTCCAAACACTTGCACTACAGGGGAATTGGGTTAGCTAAATTGGGGGCAGTGTATGTGTGTGTATGGGTGTTTCCCAGTGTGGAATAGTTGGCGGTTCATTCTGCTGTGGCAACCTCTGAAATAGAGACTACGCTGAAGGAGAACGAATGAGTGCTGCAAATCTTCTTCCTCTTCACAAAACCATGCTGGATTCAGAGAGAGGGAGAGATGCGTGTAACATGATGGTTGACTTTCCACAGGAAACCACAGCAGACTGTTCACAGATTTATTTTAGGAGAGAGCGAGCTTTGAGAACAGGAGGTTTACAAGGAAAGAGAGCGTGTGTGAAGTTCACTACTTGAATAATTTATGATGGAATAAACCAATGCGTCTATTCAGCAAAGATGGTTGATAATCATCGGGGGGGGGGTCGCTTCACCTAATTAACACTTGATCCTCCTGGTGGAAATCTGAACGAGATGTATGGCAGGTCAGCCCTTTAAATAGTGTAAAATAGTGGGTAATATTAAAATACAAATACTACACAGTCAGAAATAAAGGTACTAAATCTGTCACTGGGTTGGAACGTTTTCAAAAGGTGCATTTTTGTTCCTAACAGGGTAGGGTTGCACCAGCTGATCGTACTGAACTATAAAAAAATAATAATCTTGGCGAAATTAAAGTGAAATGTTCAGTTTCAGAGGGGCCTAAATTAAACTGTTTTCCCATGTTGTGCCAGTCAGTTACAATTTAATTACAGTTTTTCTAGTTTGCTTTGACCTGGTTAAAGAAGCTAGGTTCCTCTTCATTTTCATTATCACTATCCCAGCAGAGCAGAGGACCACTCTTGCACATGTGTAAACCCTTTCTCATTGGGTTGACACATTTTCCCCACCATTTTTCCATACAATTAACACAGATGTCATTCAAGCAGTCCAAACTCCATTGTTTTAGTTTTAGTAACAGAATCCATCTATTCCTAACTATTAAAAACTACCAACATCAGTATGAAATCACTGAAGCACCGGTTTGACACTCCTTCACACAAATCTTCAATTAGCCATCATTCTGCAAACCTTATATAAACGATGGGAGGTCTGTGTTGTTCTGTGCCAGCATTGATGGAGGAGGTCAGTATGGCCATGTCCTATACTCCCAATAGTTTTGACTGTATATTAGTTTACATGTGTTTTCTCTAATATTTACAGTATTTTATTACTTTTGTCTGTTTTTTTATGTACAGTATTTCAGTTTTCAGCCACAGTTTGAAAAATGTCATGAATTCAATATATATTCAATCAAAGCACATCTTATTCTTGATGCAACTCTTTGCAAAAAGGCGAATTTGACAGCCCAAATAGAGACAGCAAATGCCATTGGCTATAAGCTACAATGGCAAGCAATGGTGGTGCATTTTGAGTTCTGTATTTTGTATTTTGTTGGGCATTGTGTAATGATTAATTGAAAGAGCTCATATACTTGTTTGCAAGTTGTGTTGTTTGAAGGTAAAACGAAATGTTTTGACATGATATGTGCCTTTTGCAAGCAAAATGTGTCACTTTGACCATGAGTGCTGCTGTTTAGGCCTGTGTGTTAACCGTTTTGAAAATGTGGAGTTTCAGTTGACAACTGCATCCAAGCAATCGAGAAAAACTGTAATTTAATCAAATAATGTGAAAGAGCAGGACAGGCGTTTACAAATTCGCAACATTTACCTCGGTGGAACAAACTCGGGTGAAAGTGTGAGACACTTCAGAAACTCGCGAGAAAGGAGATGTCTGCTTATTTATGCCACTCTGTCTGATAAAATATTTTAAAACACCTTGAAGGGTAGCTGTTCCATGCGAGGAGGCCGCGCAGAAGCTGGATCTGATCTGTCTGATGACCGAGACAGGTTCCCCGGCTCAGGTGCTGATAATGAGACTGCGGTATTTGTCTCTAGTTTTAGGCCTTTTGGCAAATATCTCTATTAAGTTTTGCTGTTTTAAAGAGCGTTTACTCATTTTAACCTTGTTTTAAAACAATACCTATCTGAATGGTGATTTTTAGGTGCATAAAATCCACCAGTATAACTAAAGCCAGTAGATTTCTTTACCCATCTCCCACCATGCAAGTAGGCCTACATCAGGGGTCGGCAACCCGCGGCTCTAGAGCCGCATGCAGCTCTTTAGCGCCGCCCCAGTGGCTCCCTGGAGTTTTTTTTAAAAAATGTTTGAAAACGGAAAAAGATGGGGGAGGTAAATATATTTTTGTTTTAATATGGTTTCTATAGGAGGACAAACAATCTTAACGTTTTCCAATGCTGTAAAAGTGTGTAGAATATTTATTTTCAACATTTCTGTCAACGAAGATTTGCGTCATAGCCTGCGACACACGGAATAGGCAGGTGGCTGTTGTAAACTATCCGGCGGCTGTGTGATGCGCCATGGAGCGTAAGCTGTCTTTGCCAAAGATGTACAGCGGGGCACGCTCTCTCATTTTCCCTTCCTGAGAGAATTCAAAGAAGCCCATCCCGATCACTCACTCAACAGTGATTATTTACAAGGTGCGATCGTTGATATGCAAACTGCATTTGGGAGCAGATTTTGCGAGTGGCGAAAGGAAAAAACGAGACTGTCTTGTCACACACCCCTGGAGAATGACCCTTCCTTGTTGAGCACATTCCCAGTAAGGGGCACGTTATGCACGTTCATTTTGATGTTGTTTTTTGGAATCCTCAAAATAAAAAAACATCAAAAATCTGATTTCTTTACTACATTTCTTTAATTTCATCAAAGCAAAACATGATGCAATAACATTGTAATGAAGTTAAACTTGAACATTAAGCATAATGCATTAATATTGTAATGAAGTTAAACTTGATAATTAAGCATAATGCATTAATATTGTAATGAAGTTAAACTTGATAATTAAGCATAATGCATTAATATTGTAATGAAGTTAAACTTGATAATTAAGCATAATGCATTAATATTGTAATGAAGTTAAACTTGATAATTAAGCATAATGCATTAATATTGTAATGAAGTTAAACTTGATAATTAAGCATAATGCATTAATATTGTAATGAAGTTAAACTTGATAATTAAGCATAATGCATTAATATTGTAATGAAGTTAAACTTGATAATTAAGCATAATGCATTAATATTGTAATGAAGTTAAACTTGATAATTAAGCATAATGCATTAATATTGTAATGAAGTTAAACTTGATAATTAAGCATAATGCATTAATATTGTAATGAAGTTAAACTTGATAATTAAGCATAATGCATTAATATTGTAATGAAGTTAAACTTGATAATTAAGCATAATGCATTAATATTGTAATGAAGTTAAACTTGATAATTAAGCATAATGCATTAATATTGTAATGAAGTTAAACTTGATAATTAAGCATAATTCATTAATATTGTAATGAAGTTAAACTTGATAATTAAGCATAATGCATTAATATTGTAATGAAGTTAAACTTGATAATTAAGCATAATGCATTAATATTGTAATGAAATTAAACTTGATAATTAAGCATAATGCATTAATATTGTAATGAAGTTAAACTTGATAATTAAGCATAATGCATTAATATTGTAATGAAGTTAAACTTGATAATTAAGCATAATGCATTAATATTGTAATGAAGTTAAACTTGATAATTAAGCATAATTCATTAATATTGTAATGAAGTTAAACTTGATAATTAAGCATAATGCATTAATATTGTAATGAAGTTAAACTTGATAATTAAGCATAATTCATTAATATTGTAATGAAGTTAAACTTGATAATTAAGCATAATGCATTAATATTGTAATGAAGTTAAACTTGATAATTAAGCATAATGCATTAATATTGTAATGAAGTTAAACTTGATAATTAAGCATAATTCATTAATATTGTAATGAAGTTAAACTTGATAATTAAGCATAATTCATTAATATTGTAATGAAGTTAAACTTGATAATTAAGCATAATTCATTAATATTGTAATGAAGTTAAACTTGATAATTAAGCATAATGCATTAATATTGTAATGAAGTTAAACTTGATAATTAAGCATAATGCATTAATATTGTAATGAAGTTAAACTTGAACATTAAACATAATGCATTAATATACTGTAATTAAGTTAAACTTGAGACGGCATTGTACAACAGAGTAGTCACGTGGCGCGTCATTCTCTACAGGATGCACTGCAGGGGAAAAAAACATTTAATCATTAAGGCTCAGTGTGTATTTGTAGCCAACTAAATCATTTTTATAGTAGGCTAATATAGCTAATATAAATACATACAGCATGTGTTGCCTTCATTATAAGGCTTATATAAGGCTTCTAATTTTTTGCGGCTCCAGACATATTTGTTTTTGTTTTTTTTGGTCCAGTATGGCTCTTTCAACATGGCTCTTTGCCGACCCCTGGCCTACATACACACTTTAAAACACACACCTTCATTTGTTGTCATTCTTTCGTGCTTTATCAATATATCGTAGTGTGTGCTGTTTAATAACCAATCTAAATTATGTAATAAAAAAATTAAAAAGCTGCATTAATTCGCGCCCTCTCATGGTACGCACTGTGCGTACAGCCGTACACCTGCAGGCGCCACTGTTCCTTAGACACGTATTTCTGTCGCGCGTTGTGTGCACTGTAATCCACACGGGAGTCCAGCTGCACTCTCATAGCGGGAAAATGAAAACAAAACAACAAAACCCTACTAAAAAACTGCTTAAACCAGCCTAGGCTGGTTGACCAGGCTGGTTTTAGAGGGGTTTTGGCCATTTCTCTCTATTCAGGGCGGCAGAATAGAGAGCGCGGTGTCCAGCTTGCTCCGGCCCTGCCGTCAGCTCATCATCACAGTGCTTCAGTATTATTATTTTTCTATTATTATAACCTCCAGAACTGTCTTGAGCATCTGTCTGCCCTCCCAAACAGCGTCTCACGCCTCCAAAAGCCACCGCATTCACCATGTTCACTGCGTTTTGTCTTCATCTCCTGAGGCGCAGCTCATTTATTAGAGAAGAACTAAGACCAGTGGCAAATCCCAACACACTCAACTGCACTACTGACTGAGATCTGCTCCAGTTTACCAGGAAGAGATGACTGTGCTCTCTTTAGTCTCTCATTGGATGGAAACGCTGCTTTATTCACTAAGGTTTTATCCAATATTACAGTTTCGCATTAGCATCTTTGAATGGAGACAGAGCGACTTGCAGTGATGTGCATGAGGAAGTGGAAAAGAAAGCATTTTTCTGTCTTATATTGTAGTGCAGATCAGCAGCAGACAGCAGGAGGAGCTGAACCCAGATCAGATAAAACTGAATCACAAACATGAAGGAAATGAGGGAGAGACAGAGCGCTGATAATGAAGAGAAAGAGAGAGAGAGAGAGAGAGAGAGAGTTATTGATGTAGAGATCAGACAGCAGAAATGAGACTCAATAACAGCGCAGGTGAGGAGCAGAGAGAGGAAATGATGCATGTGTGTGTGTGTGTGTGTGTTGTGTGTTGGGGACGGGGCCCAATCCTCCAGGGGCCCCTCCATTAGGCTGGTATCCAGGCAACCGTCCGCATGGAGACGACTGGTGCCGGCCTGTCTGTGTCTCCGCCTGAACACACACGTTATTTACACCTCACTGTACCCTGCACAGCCTCACACACACACACATGTAGAAACAAAACAATAATCATGGTATCAGCCTTCATATAAATAAAAAATAACAGTAAATTATAAACATGCACTGCAGTTTTATTAAAGAAGTTTATTGTAAATATTTAATATATGGCGGCACGGTGGCGCTGTGGGTAGCACAATCGCCTCACGGGGTCATTCATTCATATTCTTTTCGGCTTAGTCCCTTCATTAATCAGGGGTCGCCACAGCGTAATGAACCACCAACTATTTCAGCATATGTTTTACACAGTGGATGTCCTTCCAGCTGCAACCCATCACTGGGAAACACCCATACACTCTCATTCACACATACACTATGGCCAATTTAGTTGATCAATTCCCCTATAGCGCATGTGTTTGAACTGTGGGGGCAACCAGAGCACTCGGAGAAAACCCACGCCAACACAGGGAGAACATGCAAACTCCACACAGAATCACCAACTGACCCAGCCGAGACTCGAGCCAGCAACCTTCTTGCTGTGAGGCCACTGTGTCACAGTGCCACCCCAATTCTGATTGTTACTGTTGTTTTATTGACCCACGTAAACATTCACAGCAGTGTGTGTGTGTGTGTGTGTGTGTGTGTGTGTGTGTGTGTGTGTGTGTGTGTGTGTGTGTGTGTGTGTGCATGTGTTATATTGGGCTCAGGTGGGCGGATGTGGCTGGTAAGTCAGTTCAAATCACCCATAATCCTCTGGGCTCAGCAGTGAATGGAGCTTCCTGTGCTCTGATCCAGCAGACAAAACACTACAACAGATAATGAGCAGGAAACGTGTTTGTGTGTGTGTGTGTGTGTGTGTGTGTGTGTATGTGTGTGTGTGCGTGCGTGTGTTTGTGTGTGTGTGTGTGTGTGTGTGTGTGTGTGTGTGTGTGTGTGTGTGTGTGTGTGTGTGTGTGTTTGTGTGCGCTGCCCTTTGCTGGTGTGTGTGTGTGTCTGTGTGTGTGTGTGTGTATGTATGTGTGTGTGTGTGTGTGTGCGCTGCCCTTTGCTGGTGTGTGTGTGTGTTTGTGTGACAGTGCGTGTGTGTATGTGCTGCCCTCTGCTGGTGTGTGTGTGTGTGTGTGTGTGTGTGTGTGTGTGTGTGTGTGCGCATGCTGCCCTTATATGTGTTTAGATTATGCGTGTGAAGTTTTGCTGTTTTGTGTGTGTGTGTGTGTGTGTGTGTGTGCAGCCCTCTGCTGGTGTGTTTGTGTGTGTGTGTGTGTCTGTGTGTGTATATCTGCTGCCCTCTGCTGGTGTGTGTGTGTGTGTGTGTGTGTGTGTGTGTGTGTGTGTGTGTGTGTGTGTGTGTGTGTGTGTGTGTGTGTGTGCGTCTGCTGCCCTCTGCTGGTTTGTGTGTATGGGTGAATGTGATGCCTTTTGGTGTGTGTGTGTCTGTGTGTGTGTGTGTGTGTGTGTGTGTGTGTGTGTGTGTGTGTGTGTGTGCACATATGTGTCAGTTCCCTTATCTTGTGTGTGTGTGTGTGTGTGTGCTGCCCTTTGCTGGTGTGTGTGTGTGTGTGTGTGCTGCCCTCTGCTGGTGTTTGTGTGTGTGTGTGTTTCTGCTGCCCTCTGCTGGTTTGTGTGTGTATAGGTGCGTATGTGATGCCTTTTGGAGATGTGTGTGTATGTCTGCTTCTCTTTGGTGTGTGTGTGTGTGTGTGTGTGTGTGTGTGTGTGTGTGTGTGTGCGTGCACATAAGTGTCAGTTCCCTTATCTTGTGTGCGTGTGTGTGTGTGTGTGTGTGTGTGTGTGTGTGTGTGTGTAGTGAGTGTCTTCAGATCATGTTTGTGAAGGTTTGCTCTGTTGTGTGTGTGTGTGTGCTGCCCTCTACTGGTTCATGTGTGTGTATAACTGCTTCCCTCTATGTGTGTGTGCGTGTGTCTGCTGCCTTTATCTGGTGTAAGTGTGTATCTCTTGCCCTCTCCCTGGTGTGTGTGCGCGGGTAAGCATGTGTGTGTGCAGCACATCTACTCATGTCAGTTGTGTGTGTGTTTCAGGCCCAGAAGAATGAGCGCGAGTCTATCCGGCAGAAGTTGGCTCTGGGCAGTTTCTTTGACGATGGTCCGGGGATCTACAGCAGCTGCAGCAAGAGCGGCAAACCCAGCCTCTCCTCACGGTCAGTGTGTGTGTGTGTGTGTAACATGATGTAACATCTAATGTAAACATGAGAAAAGTACACAAGAGACGTGAGTATTACACTGTGAAAATCCCTCCAGCTTACACACTACCTGACAGAAGTCTTGTTGTGGATCTCGGTTGTAAGAGCAGCAATAATAACTGGTCTTCTAGTTGATCGTGTGTTAAAGTGGCAGAAGGTGGATTTCTCTGCTGAATCATCTGCTGATCTGCATCATCACCAATACTGCAGAAGACCTACTGGAACCAGCATGGACTCAAGATTCTCACAGAAATCAGTCAAGTTTGGTGAAGGAGACATCATGGTTTGGGGTTCATCATGCGAGAGATCTGCAGAGTGGATGATCAACATCAACAGCCTGAGGGATCAAGACATCTGTGCTGCCCATTACATTACAAACCACAGGAGAGGGACAATTCTCCAGCAGGATAGCGCTCCTTCTCATACTTCAGCCTCCACATCAAAGCTCCTGAAAGCAGAGAAGGTCAAGCTGCTCCAGGATTGGCCAGCCCAGTCACCAGACATGCACATTATTGAGCATGATGAAGGAGGAGGCGTTGAAGATGAATCTAAAGAGTCTTGATGAACTCGGGGAGTCCTGCTGAAGGCTTTCTTCTTCATCCCAGATGACTTTATTAATCAGTGATGTGAGTCATGTCAGAGATGTATGGATGCAGTCCTCCAAGCTCATGATGGAGTCAGACACAATATTGATTCTGTCTCCACTGCAGCAGGACTTTATATTCTATACTGGACATTATTCCTGTTCAGTGATGAGAGTTTAGTCTGAGCAGAGTCAGACCGCACTGTCCTCATCAAATCATTAATAATCAAGGCATGATCAGATTTTATTGAGCTCAAATAAGCAAAATCTAGAGGCCTTTACCTTTCATAGAGACACTTCTGACACCAAATGATCAACTAGAAGACAAATGATTATTTGTGTCCCTAAAACTTGGATAGGCGACAAGACTTTTATCAGGTAGTGTAAAAGACAAATTTGATTTTATCATTATGACTAGGTACTTATATTAAATTGACTGGGTTAAACCCTCCGATACATACCTGTCAACCCTCCCATTTCTCCTGGGATTCTCTCGTATTTCTCTAGTCTTTCTCTGAAGGGTGGCAAATAAACATTAAAGAGGCGATCCTCCCTATACACATACCGCAGAACCACCAGGGGCCGCCCTTGCTCTTAAATGTGAATCTGTTCTTCTGTTCTGTGCTTTCGTTTTGTTTAGGCAGGAAAACACTTTGAAATAAATGTAAAAACGGCGGGATTCATTTCCTTTTCATTACAGGTGCATGTACATGTGCAATCCTCAAAACATGTAGCGGTGCGTGACTGTCAGCAGATGCCCTCCATAGGGATAGATAGACTGTTTCCCAAACAGATTCTGTATTTGTGATTTGAAGCAGAGGGAAAGTCTGGGTTTTGCGTGCATGTTTGAACAGACGTATACACATAATTAATATTAATAACATCTAAAGATGTTGATCTTGGTGCTTTTTTTTTCAAACACAACTAATTTCATCCTAAATGAGCATAAAAAGTTAGAGAAGCAGTGGAATGCTTTCGTTATAACGTTATATGTGTGCATTTTTAAAGTGACTCTCTTTTATTTAATGTAATCAAACGAAAAAAATCTAAATAAATCTTTCATCCATTGCTCTTTAATCAGAATGTGTGAGTTATACAGTGAAGAAAAGATTAATGAGATTTGATAGCTTGATTCTATTTCATTTTAATAGATATATTAAAATATAATTTTAATAAGCTGAACTGTTTGCTGCTAATGTACAGTTGAAGTCAGAATTATTCGCCCCCTTTTGATTTTGATTTTCTTTTTTAAATATTTCCCAAATGATGTTTAACAGAGCAAGGAAATTTTCACAGTGTGTCTGATAATATTTTTTCTTCTGGAGAAAGTCTTATTTGTTTTATTTTGGCTAGAATAAAAGCAGTTATTAATTTTTTAAAAACTATTTTGGGACAAAATAAGCTATTTTTTTTTCCGATAATCTACAGAACAGACCATCGTTATACAATAACTTGCCTAATTACCCTAACCTGCCTAGTTCACCTTATTAACCAAGTTAAGCCTTTACTTTAAGCTGTATAGAAGTGTCTTGAAAAATATCAAGTAAAATATTATTTACTGTCATCATGACAAAGATAAAATAAATCAGTTTTTAGAAATAAGTTTTTAAAACTATTATGCTTAGAAATGTGCTGAAACAATCTTCCCTCCATTAAACAGAAATCGGGGAAAAAATAAACAGGGGCGCTAATAATTCAGGGCGGCTAATAATTCTGACTTCAACTAAATACTATTTATTTTTTATTTTGTAATTATTAATAATAAAACATATTACTGGTCATCTAACTGTTTATTTACAATGAAACAGCTTCAAATGAACATATTTAATAATTTGGGGATTTTGGAATTGTGCCTTCGTAAAATTACGAGTACGCTCCGTTTTCCTTTACGTTTT